AAAAAAAAAAAAAGCTACAAAACCAAGAACACGTGCATATACTTTAACATGAGATCGAAAAAGACGTACGTTATGTTTCTTAATCTGAACAGCATTTGGATATGTTCTGACAGGTCCAAACTGCTTCAAGGCATTCCTCAGACCTTGTTCGGTTATTTCGTAAGGCAACCCTCCAACAAATACTCCTCTGCCTGCAGTGTTTCGAAATATATACTAAATCAATCACCAGGAGTTGGATAAACAAGCTGAAGTAAACAAAGAGGAAAAAATTACCTTCCGGCTGAGGATTAGCTTGCGGAGTGCTTTTGCTTCCTGTTGGTGATTTAGACACGATTTTGCTCGGTGCTACTGAGGTGACCACTGCAGGCTTTGGAGTCGTAGCCTTTGGGGTAGCTGCTTTTGGTAGCATTGCAGGGGCACTTTTAGCCACCTTCATAGAAACCACCATGTTTTTAGGCACAAGCCATTCATATCGACAAGATGATCGTTGATTTTTCAAAAGTACCCCTCAGATCTAAACTAATTACAAACATGGGGTGTTTGTAATTCTCAAAGAGAAACTGAAGAGTTTTGCAATTAGAATAGATCAAAGGGGTGGTTTTGGCAATTACTGATTGGCAAAGCAAAAAGAAATTTGAAGTTGAAAGTTTCAAATAACACACCATGGAAGCATAAGACATTCCCGGAACTGTTCTTAAATTTAAAGCCGGCTCAGAGGCAATGGGAGAAATCGGGGAACTTTTTGCAAGAGACTCCTTAGGGGCAACGGACACATCAAGGGCATTCTTGACATTTTCAACTTGTTCTTCGGCTTTTTCAGCGGGCAAGGATTTTGAGCAGTCAGATACATCGACTTCAACTGAAATGGCAAGAGTATGGATTTATCAGAAAGAGAAATGAATCGGAAGGATGATAACTAATTATTGTAGCCACTAATCAAATAAGCCTGAAGAAGTAACTTATTGAAGAAGTAACCAAATACATCAACGTTCGCAATCTGTGAGTGGCAATTTGCACCAAGACGCTCCAAGTTCAGCAGAGGTGCACATGTTTTGTTTATACTTTATAGTAAAAATTCAAGTAGAAACACAATCAAGAAACCTAAATCACATCTCCTTTGCTTTTAGAATCCATACTCAATACTAGTTCTTTATCAAACGAAAATCTGGTTATTAATTCTTTTTTCCTATAAGGACCTACGAGCGATACATAATAAAATTAAAATCAAGGTTTGTACCAGAGGTCTGCACAGCAGGAGGATTAGCATCAGCTTTGGGTATAGAACCGGATGCATCAAAAACCCTAAGAATGTCGTTCAGCACGTAGAATCCCTTCCCTTGCTTGGCCAAAAAGAAGTTCTGAAAGAAAATATAAGTCACTTGATCATCCCCGATGAAAGAACCAGTTACCGCAACAATAATCCCTCCATCTTTAGACGCCTGGGCATCCACAGTATTGACCTCCATCGTGAAATTCATGAAGTCAGATGACATAATCTTGTTGTTAATTGCCTGCACCAATATCATGAAAAAATCTCTCTATTTAGGTTGAGTGTGCATGATTTTTTTTTTTTTTCACGAAAAAGAATCTTAGCGTATTGGTAGTTTGAAGAAAAAATTGAAAGTATTGGTATTGTCGGTCTCTATATTTAGCATAAACATTTTTTTTGGAAACGTTCTTACGCTCAAGGTTGTGGCAGGTGCCGAATCACCATCAGAACCTGGCCAGGATAGAAGGCTAGATTCGCTATAAAACTTGTGGATATGACGGGGAAACTTAGAGAGCGTAGAATAATAGCGTCGCACAAAAGCATTTGCCTCAACGTGAGGTTTCGTAATAGCCATATCTGTAAATTTTAAGAGGGCATGCTATGTAAGAAACAAGTGATCAAGAAATGATACTGTTCAAATAATAAATGTAAACACGAATTACACATATATTTTTTTTTTTTTTTTT